ACACTGCACGACACTCAAGGCGAAATATCGCGGTTGTAATCGGAGGAAATCGAACGCCACCACTGCACTTCAGTACACTGCACGACATATAGGAAATATTCGGGTTGTAGAATGGAGGAAATCGAATTCGCCCACCACTGCACTTCAGTACAGCTGGCACGACATCAAAGGAAATATTCGAGTTGTAATCGAGTGCGAATACCGAAATAATATAGTTAAGTGTCTTACATGTAACTCCTCAGGGTGTACACGAAAATTTTACTATTTAAAGTGTTTTGTACAACTTGTAATTCTTACTGGTTCTTCATTCTTCATTCTCACTCACCATGAAAAAAAACGACCACTATAAAACACTGTTACTGGCTTCGACCGACCTCATCCCTATTGTGACCTAATGGGCACGGAGGAGTGACAGGGCGTGAATAACCTAACCTAAGCTTTGTTCTTCTCTCCGGTTGCAACTTTTTTGTCCTTGTTTTCAGACAAAGTAGAAAACAAAATGATTGGTGATGGTGATGGTATGATGTGATGGGTGATGTGATGATGGGTATATGTAGGTCACCACCGCTAAGCTAAAGGAGGCTAATGTTGGGCTATAAAGGAACTACAGCACGGTCACATGACTTCACATCACCACCGCTAAGCTAAAGGCGGCTAATGTTGGGCTATAAAGGAACTACAGCACGGTCACATGACTTCACATCACCACCGCTAAGCTAAAGGTGGCTAATGTTGGGCTATAAAGGAACTACAGCACGGTCACATGACTTCACGTCACCACCGCTAAGCTAAAGGTGGATAATGTTGGGCGTGATGACATTTCGTCGTTATACACCAAAGCAAATGCCTTGTATGTCGGAACTTCCTGGCACTTCCTCCACATGATTTGTATTGGTAATAACTCCTCCTGTCTATCTCTGGTGTGCAGTAGCAGCAGCTAAGAAGCCGTCTGATTCCACTCCCAAACCCAAGAAGGCTCCGGCACCGAGAGCAAAGAAAGCTGATAAATCCATCTTCGACTCGGACTCTGACACCGGGTCCAAGAAACCAGCAGCAGCATCAGCTTCAGCTCCTAAAGGTACAGTGCACTGTCTGTCTTATTCAAATAATGAATACAACATTTAAAAGTCCTTCAACGGTTTGATCTGTGTTTATCCAGGTGGTGCAGGGAGAGGCAGGGGGAGGAAGAGGAAGGGCTCTGGGTCTGAAGACGAGTACAGTCCCATGAAGAAGGAGAGGACACCGGTCGGCAAAGTGAGTTTTCTCCGGCAGTGTTTGTGTTTTTGCATTTTTGCTTTATATTTGGTTCTGTACTTATACAGCTCTTTATCAGGTAGGGCTGTACCCGAATATTCGAATATTCGTTCGTTGGAGTACTATTCGGGTTTCAATTTCGTTATTCGGATATTCGTTTTGTTTGTTTTTTCCCCGTTTTTTTTCTCAAATTGAATTCATTGAAATCTCCAATATCAACGTAAGAGCTTGTGCCTCTTCGGGGGGTGCTAACACTTAACCATAAACGTTATCGTTTACTTTCTCCGTCTTTATATGTAGATATTACTTTTCTCCGTTAATCTCCGTCACGTTGTTTCCATAGCAACAACAACAACTTCCTGTCAACTGCGCTAACTCTCCTTCAAAGTAAAAGCATGTCCATACAAAATAGAAAGCCAAGCCAAATCACACTTAAGACATATACAACTGCAACGAAAGTAACAAACACAATGCGATATGCTTTTCAATTTCAAAGAACACAAATTGGGTTACATTAACAAATAACTATAAAACAATAATACTGTAGAATAACAAAAAGAATGCCGTGAATAAACCGAAATACACGCGTTGAAGCGGTTCGCTGCTGATTACTACGTGTTTCCTTGTGTGTTGTGAAGAAGCCTCAGACATGGTACTTTATATCAGACAGTATATTTATAACGTGTTTCCTTGTTGTGCAGAAGCCTCAGAAACCTCCGTCAGACGATGAAGACGATCACTTCCTGAGCGTCTCGTCTGCAAACCGTCCGGGTCGAGCCAAGAAGGAAGTGAGTTACTTTGTGGATTCAGATAACCCAGAAGAAGAAGACGACGACGACATGTTCGATTAAACACACACTTCAAACACATTCCACCCCCCCAACCTTGTGTTCCCCCCCCCCACAGACTTTTGTACATTTCCTCTTTCGTTTTATTTCCATTAATGGTAACGTTCAATGATTTTTAACGTGTGGTTGTTTTACACTTTTTCTTATACATATACAGGTTTCTTTTTTTATTGCTCATTGAAATGTTCCGTATTTGTCCGAAGCGGCTTTTAGAAGTTTAGACAGCGGTGCTTTAGCACTCTTTAATTGTTAAAATACTATGTAACTTTTTGAACATGAAGTAAACGATGAAATGTCCACGATGTGTCCGCCTGATTATTTCATGACTCTAAATTACGCAGAGGACAACGTTATCACTTGCTGTCACACGGACATCATTTCTTATTGTGATATATCAATCAGGAGAGACTTAGTTTTTAGTTTAACCCTTACGTTGTGTTCGGGTCTCCCGTGACCCGGTTCAAGTTCAAATTATATAATAACTACGCTGTTTTTTTTTTTTTATCGGAACAAGGCTTCCTGATATCCTCCACAACAGATATATAAACACTACACAACTCATTTTGACAATTTTTGCCAAGTCAGAAGGTCTCTACAAAAAAACACACATTCACACACACACACACTCACACACACAGACACTCACTCACACACTCACCTGACTCGGAGGGACATGTCCTACCAAGGAAGCGTCCTCGACATTGAGAAACACCCTGTGACTTTCTAAAGGGAATTTGACATACTACACCACATCTTTTTAAACAATATTCGACATACTATACTATGACTTTTTAAAGGTGTTAGACATATACTATGTTTTAAAATATGTGACCTACTAAACCAAACCTTTGTTCATTATTCTTCAACTTACCATATTACGACTTTTCAATTTGTTTGCACAATATACTATAAATAAACTATACTGCACACTTTATTAAAGATGTGATTCTCTCCTCTGATTGGACGTCCCATAATGGATTCACACACAAGTATTTTTTAAAATAAATATATTTTATTACTTTGCCAGGACAGTTCATGGTAAAGTTTAACAGTATATGAACATAAAAAGCATTATGTTAATGTACAAACAGAGACAGTATTTAAAATGGACAGCTGAAACAAAACCACTTCAGCCAATGGGAGGGCAGCAGAGAGCAAACAAGCCCCGCCCCTTCTACCCTCATGCCCAATCGGACGTGAGCATCATGTCTCATAGTAACGGGACTGTACAACACTGCGTGTGATCGGTGGAAAGAAGGCGACTGGACAACAACAGAGCGTTGTGATTGGTTCTGAGGTTCACGTGGTGAAGGGACGATGTTTAATCCTGGGTTAGACCGACATGTGGGGCTGAGATTTAACCTATTATGGGATGCTTTTGTATTTTAATTATTGTCATACAAAATTGAATTGAAAATTGAGTCAAAAAATTGGGAATTTCTTTTTTTTTTTACATTTGTTAATAAATTGTTGACATAAAAATTTGAATAAAACACATAAGTACATATTATGTAGAGAAGGAAAAAAAACATTAAATATATGTAACATGAATTTATAAAAGGGCTAGCAATGGACAGTAGTTTGCTTAAAATAATAAAAATGTATAAGAATAACAGGGACTTTTATTTTAACTTTATCAACAAAACATGCACATTTTTACATATAACTTTCAACCCTACGCTTCCTGTAGTATTTCAAATACATATTTATTATTTTGGGGCATTCAAAAGCTCAAATAAATTCTATAAATTCACCTAAAACCCTTTAAAAAATGCTAAATGTATTCCAACTTGGAATAAATTAATATTGCTGTATAATAGATTTCATGTGAAGAAGATCCCTTTATCGTCTAAAAAGGATCAGCTCTCAGCCCCACATGTCGGTATAACCCTGGCTCCTTAGTGGACCTGTTCACCAAATCGCTGTCTATTGATTGGGTTTGATTGATTGACAGCTGATTGGCTCCCTGGTTGAGATGGAGGCTCTGTTGTTAGACATGAAACAGGAACAAAAACATGATGTCCATTTCCTTCATGTCCGTCCCAAATCAGCTCTCCAAAATCCAGTTCCTCCTCCTCCTCCATTCTTCTTTATCTTTTGTACACTTAGACGTGAGTTCCCAAGGACGACTTGAAAGGTCTTTTCCCCACAGAGCTGCCAGTTGTAATGCAAAGCAAACATCACTTATATAACACCTCCACAGTGAGCTAGATAGTAGAGTATTACAGTTACGTCGGTACAACATTCAACAGAAAACAAGAGTAAAATTCAGCATCGTGGAGTTTGTTTGCTGCAGGAACAGAGGAGTCGTCCCTGCTGCGTTCAGGGGTCGGGGGTGAACATTCGTTGGGCTGTTTTCCAGCTTCAAATAAAATAAAAACACCAAAGATGGCTCCCTCCCTTTCTCACCAGGAGAACAGAGAGGGAGCCTTTCTAGTTTCCGTAACACTGCATTCTGACATTATTCACATTCAAACGGTTAAATAAAGGTCTGCTCTGGTTTCCCTTATGATATGTATTTCTGAGCAGGAATGGATTGCAGATGAGTTTTATTTCTTCTTATTAATATGTGCTGCTGCGACCCAGAGCCCCTCACTGCCCTAAAGGGTGACTTACTCTCTGTTTTGGATCAAAATGCAAGAAGCTGAATGACTCACTGAGACCGCGTCACTGAGATGTTTGTGCCAGGTTTTCAATTTGAATCTGTTTCTGAGAAGCTTAGTGATTTATCAGCTGCAGTGTCAACAAGCTCCACTTTGAAAATTCAGCTAAAGTTTAAATATAACGGCGTCCAAAATCAACCTGACTCTCTACGACTTATTGAAGAAAGTAATTACATGTTTTACTGTAAATTAGGATGTGTTAAATCTCATGAGTGACAGGTGGAATACCTAACACATTCAAAGTGGTATTGTGAAATGTGACCTTTGTCTTGTGGGATTCATATTTCCTTATCCATACTAGTAACGAAAGTGATTTGACTGACCTCCAGAAAAAACTTCATATATATGTATAATAAATCCTAATATAGTACGTCAAGAAATGTCGGAACATTCACAGTAAAGAGTGTTAAAAAGTCAAAGAATATTAAGTTGAAAAACACTTGTCTAAAAGTATTTAAAAATTGTTTTTTAAGTATGTCGAAAAAAATGAAAAATAGTCATAGTATAGCTTTTGGAAAAATATCCTATAACAGTCAAAGTATATTAAATAAAAAAAATATTCTGGAATTATTTTAATAATTTTACATATCCCAAAAAATACCTTAAAAATAAATAAAATAACGTGTGAAAAAATATCATGAAAAAGTCATTAAGTATGTCGAAAAAAAGAAAAAGTAATGATGAAAGATCTGACTAATAATTGTTAACTGAACATCTTTCAATTCAGATGAACCCAATTGAACCCTCGGAACAAACACCTCCACGTGTCACTGAGTCTTCTTCCTGCATCTCTCCGTCAGCAGTGAGGAAGCATTTCCAAAGCTTTCGGGTTTTAATATTCTCTGTAACTCTTGTGCTTCATGTCTTTACATCTGAGCTTCAGGTATTTCCAGGTGTTTCAGCAGCAGAGAGGGGAGGGGGGGGGGNGGGGGGGTCCTGTGAGAGGAGGAGATATCACCTCTTCCTATTGGTCGGGAGAGGTGGGAAGTAACTAAGTAGATGTACTCAAGAACTGTACTTAAGTAGAGTTTTACTCCTCTACAGCTCAGAGGTAAATGGTGTACTTTTCTCCACTACATTTATTTAATAACTTTAGTTACTTCACAGATGTGGATGAATGATGTGAAATCTAATCAAGTGTTGAATCAGACTTTAGTTCCACCTGGAGTAAATCCACAAGCTACCCTTTAGTATACAAAGTCATTCAGACTAGCTGCACCTTTACCAGCTTTGAGAACACTTTCATGATCAATCATTATAAAACATATCATATATATTATTCTGAAATGGACCAATCTGCACAATGACTACTTTTACTGTCTCTACTTTCACTATATTTTGATGAGAATACTTTTCTACTTTTACTTGAGGACCATTTTGAATGCAAGACTTTTACTGTAACAGAGTATTCCTACACTCTGAGTACTTCTACTTTTACTCAAGTACAAGATCTGAGTACTTCTACTTTTACTCAAGTACAAGATCTGAGTACTTCTACTTTTACTCAAGTACAAGATCTGAGTAGGCCTACTTCTACTTTTACTCAAGTACAAGATCTGAGTACTTCTACTCGAGTACTTCTCCCACCTCTGTTGTTCATATTGTGTTGCTATCTTCCACTTTCCCCGCCTCTCAGTGATATAGAGCTGTGTTTGTAGAGAAGCCTCTCCATCGTGTAAATGTTTCTCAAACGGTCCGAGGATCGAGGCTGTGTGCTTCTACGTTGCTACGTTTCTACGTCAGTGTACAATCGTCCCGGTTATCAGAATGTTTTGTAAGGGTATCTTTTCCCTCCGTCTGCTCAGCGGTTTCTAAAAGACACTTCTGAGAGGAAAGGGGAGGTTCTGCTCGTAAGGCGTCACAGAGAGTGTGTGGTGGAGCCCAGGTTGAAATGCTGTTAGTGAAGGATACACACTCATCAGGTCATCAGTCAATTAGGCGTCTTTGAGTTCACGAAAAGCGCTATATAAATAAAAAGTATTATTATTATTATCATCAAGTCATAGCGGGCTGCGATCACACGTACCAACACCGACGTAGCGCTGCGAGCTAACAGAGAACACACACCTTCATGTGATCTAAAGGAACCAAAGGGCTGCAGTTGATGATTTCTATCAGTTTCACTTCCACTGTGCTCCTCAAAGTAAGTGATGAGAGTTGGAAATGGTTCCACTGTGCTCCTCAAAGTAAGTGGTGAGAGTTGGAAATGGTAGCACTGCAAGCGAGTGACGTAAAGCAGCAAAAGGGCTGTCATTGTATTCAAATGTGGGTCATTCTTTTTGCCATGATTTATGTAGGTTTTTATTACTCATCAAAATCATTGCTGAGATCTCAAAAACGAAGCATAGCATTTCTAGTAATATAGAACATTATTGTGTGACAGAAAATCAACACAAATGCTGCAAGAAAACCTAGTTTAGTTCTTTTTTTGAACGTTCTGGTCGCGATTTATCCAGGTTTTAACATCAGTAATGTAATTGCATGACGCCCGTTTGAACTGTGTTCCTCAGTATTCTCTAATTGATTCCTTTCCCTGGTAACGACCGCTCCTCTATGCAGAGATGTATATTGGTTTGATAAGACTATACACTAGGGATGTAACGATACCAAAAACTCACGGTACGATAATATCGCGATAAAAAGTCCACGGTACAATATTTATCGTGATATTGAAAAATAAAGGAAAAAAAATGTGAATTTCTTTTTTTTTACTTTAATTTTTTTTTCTTTATGAAATAATAAATCTGATTTGTACAGCATTTTAGTAGGATAGTAGTATTTTAAAGTGTCAACAATATAATAACCAGACCCTGCAATAGAATAAATCAAGTTTCACTCAACTCTAACTCACTCACTAACTCACTCCCTCAGCACCATCAAGGTTATCTTTTAGGAATATGAGCATGTCCAAATTTCCAGGTAGAAGCTGGGATGTTTGGGCGTTTACAATATCCCCTGCTGTGTAAAAAACTCTCTTGCTTGGTACTGATGTTGCTGGGACAGAGAGATATGCTTTGGCCATGGGTGACAGCAGTGGGTCAAACTGTGCATTGTCTCTCCACCACTTCAAAAACAATACCGTGTTTGCCAAGAAGGTGAGGCTTATTGACAGGGCGAGATACAAATATACTGTTGGTACTTGTCAATGTCTCTAGGTATGTACATGTAGCCCTGTAGATACCATGTCCTTTTGTGTTATCTGTTGTTTTATGTTCATGTTGTAACCTACTTGCTGCCATGTTGGACAGGTCTCCCTTGAAAAAGAGATCGATGATCTCAATGGGACCATCTGGTTCAATAAAGGTTTTAAAAAAAAGTTATTTAAAAAAAAGAAAAGAAAAAAAAAATATATATTTTTTTTAAATCGTGGTAGATTTGTTCAGTCTCACAACGGTATTGAGACATTTATTTACCGCGATATCGCGATATATCGTTACATCCCTACGTATACACTCATCAAAATAATTTCTGAGATCTCAAAATCAAAACATAGCATTTCTAGTAATATAGGATATTATTGTTTGACATAAAAGCCTCAACTCTGATGCAAAAAACTACAGTTTAGGGCTTTTTTTGAAGGTTTTGGTCGTGATTTATTCAGCTCAATGGCGTAAGTGCATGACGTCCGTTTGAACTGCATTCCTCAGAATCTCTAATTGATTAGTTTCCCTGGTAACGCTCCTCTTTCCACAGAACAACTCATCATGCTGTGAACCAGATCAGGACTAACGCAGACCCTTCAGACGAGTTAACCGGATGAGTTAGCGTAGCATCGGTTTCTTTAACCTCCTAACCGACCAGACGGTGATAATAAAGTGCGACACAGTTAGAGTTGGATCATGGTCGGGGTTAAAGGTTAAAGGTTAAAGGTTAACAAAGGTCACAGCCGTTCATTCCTCTGGACTCTGATGAGTGCGTATCGAAGGCTGTTTTTGAGCTCGAGAGGAGCTTTGCATTCTGGCGGATTCATGACGGGTTAGAAAAGACGAAAAACAGTTTTTTAAATATAGCAAGACAAATATAAAATATTCCGCAATGTCTATAAGCAATAACATTCTAGATAACTTCTCCGGAAAGGACCAGTGTCAGTCCCGCTCGCCTCAGAGATAATATTTAAGACAATGATTAAAAAGCACCACAAAATCCATCATAGAAACAGAGACTCCGTCCGATGGTATTTACAACGTGTGTGCCGACAATACAGGGTTAAATTCACTCATCAATCTCCCATCATGCATTAGGGTTTACAAAGGAGACCTGAGGGGAATCTCCTCTTACTTCTTCGTCCAAAACACCGAGTCCAAATGATTCACACGAGGCCTCCCATGTCTTCTTTTTAAGGGGAATAGAAGTAAAGATACCTAGCAAGGAGGGAAGCCTAGCAAGGAGGAAGCCTTGCTAGGATGCTCCTTTCTGGGCAAAGGAAAGTCAGAAAGAGACTTTTTTTAGGACTTGTCTCCGGGCGGAAAAGCCTCTTCGGTGTCCGGAAACTCCGGCGATTCAGCGGTTTTTTCGTTGGGAGTTTCGTTTCTCCGAGGGGTTTCTTCCTCCTCCTCTTCTTCCTCTTTAGCCGGGGTTTCGCTCTTCTTCTTGCTGCCCTTGCTGCTGCTCTTCCCGCTGTTTTTCTTTCCCTTCTTCCCTCCTTTCTTCCCGCCCCCGGAGCTCTTCTCCCCGCCGCTCGAGCCGTCCTGACCCTCCGAGTTCTCCAACATCTCCTGGATGAGCGGCGGCATCGAACCGGGAATCTCCATCTTCAGAGAGATGACCCGCTCGGCGCCTGCAAGACAACGAGGAGGGCAGAAGAAGAGGGGTTAAGATAAAGATGTTATTATTATTAGTTTTGTAGTTTTTGCATAAAACTATGTGGTCACAACATTTCTAATGGCATCAAAGAGGAAGACATTACAATTTCACTTAAAATGGACCTATCATGCTATATTTGAATAATATAGTGTAGGACCATACCTAGATAAGGCATATTTATACTTTTTATTTTTCAAAATACCAAACAGATCATGCATTTTAGCCATTCCTCATTTTGCTCAATTTAACACTGTCTTTTCATGGGCTGATTCTGTGAGAACAGCACCATCTACAGGCCTGGCATATGGACTACAGCGTCTCCAGCGCTTTCCAACGGCAATGTCCGTGGCTGTCTCCTCCTGATTGGTGGAGTTGGCCCAATAGCCGTAGCGCCACTTCTGTGACGTCATAGAAGTGTTCAAATCTGGATCAGTCTGTATCAGATCCGTTGCAGCCCCTTTTTAAGAGATTTGGGTATGGAGGAAAATAGAGAGGGTTGTGTTTTCTGACACTTGGTGAGTTCCCTGGAACACCGGGGACACATATTCATGTATAAAAGACAAAGGTGCATTTTGCATGATAGGTCACCTTTAAATGAAGCCCAACACATTTCTGACACGAAAGAATCAAACGCCTGGACACAAACGATGACAAGTTACTTATTAGATGCTTTTATCCAAAGCGACTTATATACTCAATACTGTGGACAATCCCCAAAGGAGCAATTTGGGGTGAAGTGTCTCAGGGACAGAACAACATGCTGACTGCAGTGGGGTTTAAACCTGGGACCCCCTGATCCCAACACCAATGCACAACCCACTGCGCCACAGCCTCCCTGACATGAAGGCTGTAAATAGTTACCAGTGGTGCACTTCATGTGTTTAGTTACACGCAAAAGAACGTGCAATTACGTATCTGCCACTACGTTTTTTTGCACCACTAAAAACTGTTAATATTTACATTAATAATAATAATAATAATAATAATAATAATAATAATAATAATAATACATTTAATTTTAAAGACGCTTTACAGTGGTTTGATAAAACATGATAAAATTGAATTAAAAAAAAGAAATAAAAGAAATATTAAAACAGCAACACAACATGATTCAAATGAAAAGCCAGTCTGTGTTTTGGTCAGTCTTTGATTTCGGTCACATGAACGACGTCTCTGTTTCCTGGAGTTATTTAACTCTGTGAGAGTACAGTTGTATTATCATGCTGCTGTGTTTAGTGTATCTTTGTAACTCTGGTAACTATTTCCTTATCTTGTCTTATCTCATTTTATAAAATAAGATAAGATGTACTTCGTTAATCCCAATTTGGGAAATGGTTTGGTTGCAGCAGTAATAACAAATTAAAAGAGTAGAAAAAAACAATTCTAAAATATAAACACATTGATTGATAGATTAGATTAAATATACTTCAAATATACTTTTTGTCTTGAATGACATCACGACAAATCCACGTCTGGCTAAGCTAATTATTGATTTAATAGTTTAGTATAGTGAGCACCATAAAGATGGGTGTTTATACATTTAGATTCCATAGGAAATAGCTTGTTTTGTTATTGTTGACACATTTTAATATGCACTTCCATGTTATATGTAGTGGTGGTTCCCTGCTCTCATGTTTCCAGGGTTCTGCTGTAAACGCCCCGTGGTGATTCAGCTCCCGCCCCGATGTGAGAGGCTCCCCCTGCAGACCCCCAACAGATGAAAGAGTGTTTCCTGTACCTTTAGCGCTGATGCTCCGCAGGTCGGTGATCTTCATCAGGGTTTTGGGGAACATGTGAGGTTTGCTCGGCCTCCTCTTCCTCACGTAGATCTTCAGAGCTTCAAGAAGAGGCTCCTGCATCTCGTCCACTTTAGAGGGTTCCTCCAGGTCCTGGCGGTCTGACACACACACACACACACACACACACACACACACACACACACACACACACACACACACACACACACACACACACAGTTAGTAAAATACTGAATGTATCTTCCAACATGAGAGTCACATGATAACAAAGGTATCCCAACTGTAGCTGTGAACATGACAGGATGTGTGATTACCTAGAAGAGCATCAGGACTGTTTGAGGCATGATAGCTATGTGATTAACATGATGATTGAGCCTCTATGGAGAGAGACATATGACAAGCATGATCATTTCTGACGTGGAGCTAATCTGAAGTAAACATTGAATACTGCTTTCTATTCCTCCATCTTGTGACTGTGTAACTCCCTCTCTTGGATATCAGCATGTGAAGGACACTGTTCAGGAACTAGTTGATGCTCTGTATGTGATGACTACTTAAATTCTGGAGAGGATCACAGACACATGGATCCTGAGATTCAAGATCAAGCCGGGGACTAGTGAGATTTTTCTAACACACACACACACACACACACACACACACACACACACACACACACACACAGACACACAGACACACACA